CATGAACTCACTGTTTACTCACTGGAGTCAAAATCTTTTGGATGGTTAATCATAATTTCTTTTTGTTTGAACAGAAACTACTTGATAATAGAACTTAAGTGTAATTCATTCAAAAGAACCAAGGTAGTTCCTTATTGATGCATTATAATGAACCTTCTCAGAACGTGTTCTGACAGTATTAATATTGTAGGCTTTAGACCAACGGCATGGTGTTAATTCATGTGCCTAGTGCTGTCAGAGCAAAGTAATTTGCAGCAACTCATTTTGTTTACTGTGTACTGGAAGTCGAGACAATGTGTTGTTCAGTCGTCTGAGCTTCTGTAAGTTGATGTAATCACAATCACTGTTTAGTAGATTTGGTCTAGGTTTTGCGGTTGGATGTTTGGAGTAAAAACATTCGTCTGCGGATGTTAGATAAAGATAAAAGATCGATAAAATTACAATCAACTCCGCCTGTAGCTCTTCTAGAGTTACTGCTGGTCTCAACTTGGCAGTACTGGGAATCAGTGAACTCACTGGACTCAGGCTGGACAACAAAGGTTAAATACAGGAGAGATGCTGCTTTACTCCGGCCACGAAGAGGAAAATGCTCCACACACTCCCGGAGTTGCTCTAATGCTGTCCAAAGTAGCACAAAATGCACTTGTAGGATGAAAACTTCACGGATCCAGAATCATCAAAGCATTATTCAAAACAAAGAAGGAGGGGATCACAATGACGACATTAAAGATCAATTCTATGAGCAGCTACAATCAATCATAGAGAAGTGCTCAAGAAAAGACTTCACCATTCTGATGGGAGATCTAAAGGACAAAGTTGGAATAGACAACACCGAATATTAAGATATCATGGAACGACACGGACGAACTGGGACACAGAAACGAAAATGGAGAAAGATTTGCAAATCTGTGTGAATTAAACAAATTAGTCATAGGAGGCACAATATTTCCATACAGACGTATGCACAGAGCTACATGGATCTCACCGGACCACACCACAGAGAACCAGATAGGTCATATTTGCATCAACAAAAAATTCCGAAGGACAATGGTAGATGTGAGAAGCAGGAGAGGAGGTGACATAGCTTCGGATCACCACCTAGTTGTGTCCAATTCAAAACTGAAGCTAAAGAAGAACTGGACAACTGGACAAACAGCACTACAAATGTTCAATACGGCCGTCCTTCGACATACTAACAAACTCAACGAATTCAAGACAGCCCTCAACAACAGATTCCAAGCCCTGCAGGACCAACTGAAGGAACAAGAAACTACTATGGAGGACAACTGGAGAAGTATCAAAGAAGCGTTAACTTCAACATGTCAAGAGGTTCTGGCCTCAAGAAGCACCACCATAAGGAACGATTTCTATAGAAACACTGGACAGGATCAAAGCAAGGAAGAACAAGAAGACAGAAATTAACAACAGCCGAACATGAGCAGAGGAAGTCCAAGCACAAGCTGAGTACATAGAAGCGAACAAGCAAGTGAAGAAAAGCACTAAAGCCGACAAGCAGAAATACGTGGAAGAATTAGCAATGACGGCGCAAAAAGCTGCAAGAGAAGGAACTATGAAACAGATTTATGATACAACGAAGAAACTAGCAGAGAGATACAGTAAACCAAAGAGACCGGTCAAGGACAAAGAAGGAAGGCCAATCAATGAAATTCAAGAACAGCGGAACAGATGGTGGAAGTACTTCGGGAGCTCCTGAATAGGCCGGCTCCAATGAATCCACCGGACATCAAAGCAACACAAACAGATCTTCCTATAGATGTCAATCCACTACTGTCAATACCAGGGAAAGTATTTAACAGAGTGCTGCTGAACCGGATGGAAGATGCAGTAGACGCCTAACTTCGAAATCAACAAGCTGGATTCCGTAGGGATCGGTCGTGCACAGACCAAATTGCGACACTACGGATCATCGTCGATCAATCAGCTGAGTGGAACTCATCACTGTACATCAACTTCATTGATTATGAAAAGGTATTTGACAGTGTAGATGGGAGAACGTTATGGAAACTTCTTCGACACTATGGAGTTCCTCAGAAGATTATCAACATTACCCGGAACTCATACGACGGATTACAGTACAAGGTCGTGCATGGAGGACAGCTGACAGACGCATTCCATATAAAGACCGGAGTCAGACAAGGCTGTCTACTCTATCCCTTCCTCTTTCTTCTGGTGGTCGACTGGATTATGAAGACCTTGACATCTGAAACAAAACACGGAATACAATGGACAGCTCAGAATCAATTAGACGATTTGGACTTCGCAGATGACCTAGCCCTCCTATCACGTACACACGAACAGATGCAGATGAAGACAGCCTGTGTAGCAGCAGTCTCTGCATCAGTAGGCCTCAACATACACAAGGGGAAAACCAAGGTCCTCAAATTCAAAACGGAGAACTGCAATCCAATCACTCTTGATGGCAAAACTCTGGAAGATGTAGAATCCTTCACATACTTGGGATGCAACATCGATGAAAATTGAGGTTCAGATGCAGACGTAAAGACGAGGATTGGCAAAGCAAGGGTCGCATTCCTACAATTGAAAAGCATATGGAACTCAAAACAGCTGTATGTCAACCAATATCAAAGTGAGAATCTTCAATACGAACGTCAAGGCAGTTCTACTGTATGGAGCTGAAACTTGGAGAACTACAACAACTACCATCAAGAAGGTGCAAGTGTTTACAAATGGTTGTCTACACAAGATACTCAACATTCATTGGCCGGATACCATCAGTAACAGACTTCTGTAGGAGGGGACAAACCAGCTTCCAGCTAAAGAGGAAGTTAGAAAAAGACTATGGAAATTGATAGGACATACATTACGCAAATCGTCAAACTGCACCACGAGACAAGCCCCGACATGGAATGTTGAAGGTAAGCGGAAAAGAGAAAGACCAAAGAACACATTACGTCGGGAAATAGAATCAGATATGAAAAGGATGAATCACAGCCGGAAAGAGCTGGAAAGGATTGCCCAGGACAGGGTTGGATGGAGAATGCTGGTGAGCGGCTTATGCTCCTTCACGAGGAGTAACAGGCGTAAGTATGTAAGTAAAATTACAATCTCTTAGCATATGGTAGGATAAAAGAAATCAACCGAGAATTATCGAAGAGAATTGTGTTTCTTGGTTCTCTTAAGTCGGGGATAGTTACGTAGAATTATGTTGTACTATGATATTAGTACCGCTCTAATAATAGACTTAATCCTAAAGTTGTAGATTTGTCATGATATAACTGCCTAACAATCATCGATAAATGATGGAGAACCCATTCAGGCTGGAGACACATCAGTATATTTAATATGAGTAAAAGATATATAACAAGATTTAAGGGTAGCCACGCCTGCAAGGTCTCACCATGCCATCCGATCAGTATGAATTAATTGAATTCCTTCTTTCCGCTTTCTCCCTCGTTGTTTTTCTCTGCGTTAAATATTAAATATCTGTTTTCCCGGTTGCCTCGTGTTCAGCTTCGAGGATTGTATGATTAGGGCGCAGCGCCACAACAAGACTATCTAAATTCTCCACACCCATGTGTATTTACCAGTCTGTTTCTATGGGACCAGTTATGTGGAGCATGAATTCGAGAAGACTGTCATCTCATAAGAGAACTCCATCCATCTTGGTTGAGCAAAAGACAGGTAAGAGTGGTTAAGAGTTCTGTTTTCACCCACGGAGTGAAAATCAAGATGGCTTGAATATAGTTTTTAAGGTCATCCATTATGTTCCATCAGATTCACTACATGGTTGATGAGTTTGTCTTTTGAGTGCTGCTGGAGCTATTGGAATCCATATCCACAAAAATAACCTTAGCATCCACAAAAAGTTCGCAGCAGTTAATAAATCCCCGAAATAATTATTTCTATAAGTCTTCGGTATTAATGCTGACCTAATTGGTTTTACTGGACAAACCCAAGCTGGAGGCGCATGATTACGTATCCGCACCAGATCACGAGCGGGTACGCTGTACTACGCATACCTTGTGACTACCAACCAGCTTGGACAAAACGTTTCTCGACATATCGATAGCCTACCAAATGTATATTCGACCCTCTTCATTTCTGACTTCTGATTTGACTAGGTTGGTGTACTTTGATTACAATGGTGTTATGTATAAAGGCTTTGTCACTCCGAATACCTGTGGCATTTTTAAGTTTGTACAAACACTCTCTCTTTGCCGTAGATGTGAGAGTGAGTTTTAGCTGATCTGTTAGACCCTACATTTCAAAAATGCTCAAACATTTTTCCAGTTTCTTTCACATTTATATTTTCATGTATTCCAAAATATCTGTCTCTTGATTTTTACATCATTACTATAATGCTCGCCCTTCATGGAAATATTTCGTTGATTCTTTTAGCATATTATGTAGTGCATTATCTGTTTGATTTTTCAAATAACCACTTTGATTGCTATAATACCATCTCCTCCAATTTCTCAATATTATTTTATAATCACAGTGACATTATACGACTAATAAATAACGTAACTACTCGGTGAGTATTACTTCATTGTTGTAGATCATTTATATATTAGTGTAGAGCCATGATAAAGAACTAATTGAAAATAAATTCTTTTGCTCCACTCGTTCTTTTCACTAAATGATGAAGTTGGACTTTTTATCATAAAGTACATAACTCTACAAAATATTGAAGAAATTCCGTTTCATAGAGAACTCCAGTTCTTAGAGTGGATGAGTCTGAAAGGAACTCAGGACTTTACGCACCGGCTAGGAAGATTTTGCTAAATCTTGTATGTATACATCTTCATCTAAAGCTTGTTAACCAATAAATGCTACACAATACATAGTATCGTCTTCATGGAACGCAACCTGATGAGGCCTTGGAAAGGAAATATTCAAATACATGCAATTCACTTATATCTGCGCACCTAAGAATGGTCCTCTGAATCTATTTTATGGTTTTGGGATATCGCTGTGAAAAATGAGTGCTGTCTTGTAACTGTTGGGTTAGGGAGGTGATGTCTGAACGAAATCCTGAACTATCACGCGGCGGCAATGATATTCACAGTTGCAAAAAACGATTATGCTTCATGCTCTTCAGTTAAAACCGTTGATGTCGAACCTGTGTAGTAAAAAGAGGTTGGTTCGTCAAGAAAACATAAGCAGGTGACTGGCGGGAGTAAAGATAGAAGTAAACTAATGGTCTCAATCGTTTACCTGACAACAGTGGCTGGACACAAAGAAGTTTAACTAAACTAACAATTACTAGACCAAAGTTTTACGCCAATAATTCAAACACTCCAGCCGCAATATAATAGGGCCAGAAACGGGCCGTGTATTCGTTTGGGGACAAAGATGAGAGTGACTAAGGTCAACTAAGTGGGTGGGTTATAGAAGCTAAAAAGTATTCACCGTAGAATATTAAATGAGGTTTATGTTGAACTGTGTACTCCCACACATTTTAATATCACGTGCTTCACTGCGTGTCAGGTTTATGGTTGGAACGATAGATGATATTGACGACGAACGGTAAAAATCCAGTAACTGGCTAACTTACATAACAAATTGCATAGTGAATGAAAGTGTACTTATTCAATAACACAAATAAACTACGAAGTTATCCACCGAAATTCGAGGTCGAGCCAAATCCTCCTGGAATGTCAGCTTGTCATCTTGCCTGAAAACTTGTCTACGAAGTTTAATATTGTCAACAAAAGGCAATACATTGTGGTAATGCATTGCATAGCTCTGATAATCTTATTTCACTATCGAAATATATGATTATCCCTTTTTCATAATCTTTTGAAAAGCCAAGGTATATGACATCGACGTTCCTCTTGCCACTAAGGATGGTTCTCCATCTGCGCAGTAGGTTAAGAATACAATAGTGAAGCTCCGTGAAACCGTTCTGTTGGGGTGAAAGGAAGTTTGTGAATAGCAAGTAGTCACGTAGACCATCGTCTATCCAGGACCAAATAACATTCACAACTGATTGATCACTTAGTGTTGATCAGTGTCATGTGTGTCAAGTCCTTCTTAGTGCAGACCGAATGCTATCGACCACGTTGCAATATGGCCACCAGTCTAGGTGACCCGACATTGCGTGCACGATGTTGAGATCAGATGGTGTTGGAGGTAGTAAACAGGAAACCCTGAACCCGGTTTTCGTGCTACTTGGCACTCGTAAGCAAGGTGTACCTGTGGTCTTGAGGGAACTGATGCAACGTGGTCGATAGCATTTGATCTGCACTAAGAAGGACTTGACACACATGACATTGATCAACACTAAGTCGTCAGTCGATTGTGATTAAATCAGTCCTACAGAAGGTTGGTCGAGGCCCGGAAAGCTCAGTGGTATAGTCTATGACTATGAAGCTGAGTGACACGGGGTTAAATCCTTCAGGGAGCATCAGTTCTCTCAAGACCACAGGTACACCTTGGTGAAGAGTGCCAAGTAGCACGAAAGCTGGGTCCAGGGTTTCCTGTTGACTACCCCCAACCACCATTTAATACCAAATAACTGTTGAGGGATCATTTGAGCGAAGTGCCACTGGCCAATAAAATCTATGTTCAGCTTATCGGTCTCATTTGAAGACTGATGTAATGTGTGCCAGATTCCGATATTCTGGCACAGTGCCTCCTCATAGCGAATGTGAGAACGTCATGTTAAGTGATGCTGCCAAGACTGAAGTTTCTTCTCTCAGTATAGCAGAATGAACTGTATCCGGGCCGGGATAACTGTGTTTGTATAGGTGTTGCAGTTTCCGCCACGCCAAGTTGGCGAACAGGTTCACTACTGAAACTCCTATGGAATCGCAGGTGAAGCTCTCATCGTTATAATTAGTACGGATTTATTGAAATGTTCGAAATCACTGTTCTGTCAGAAGTTTGGCAGAGAGGGTTTGTCGTTGTTTGATGGGCCATTCGAACCTAGCAGTTTGGGAACGTCAGTTTTGCTTTGTCGACTGGAGGCTGCATGACTGTATAAACTTATCGGATCGTAACCAAATATATGGATTAGTTTTACATGATACTGAAGCCTGTCATCTCTTAATGCCTTTGGGCATTGATTCATCGCTTATTTGAATTGCCTGTATGCGTTGTTGTTACCAGTTTATTCGTATTCCACCCAGTACGACCCTTCGAAGCACAGCAAACATAGAGTACAATTCTTGATAAATGGACATTGCTTGTAGTTTCGGTGAACTGTTTGCGGAACTGAATACGTTGTTGCATATAAGATCATTTACTGTAAGAAAATCCAATCATCATCTACATCAAATTGAAGGTGAACTTCCCAGTCCACTTTTTATGGGTTGTCCTGTAAAACTTACACATCCAACCGTTTGAAATTCTAACGCCTACTGTTGATAAGACTTATTGGCTCACGTTTGCTTATAAGACTGAAGTCTATGACGTCATGATAACTTATATCCAGAGTAGCAATGATTGAGAGGTTGTCAACTAGGAATTCTTCGTTTGTAACTATGTAGTCTAAGCACGATTGCCTCTGACTATTTCTCCAACTAGGTGCTGACTTCACATTTCCAAATAATTTAGGATCTTCATTGGGGTTGAAGAACGTAGCTTCAGTAGATTTGTCACCTTCAATGTACGTACGTTCTGCGAGATTGACTTTAAGAAGATTAGGGTCTCCTAGAATCAGGATATGAGGGTATCTGAGACTAGTAGAGTCGGATATTCGATCAAGTATACGATTGTCAAACTCGATGCCAGCAATGAGCTTCCCGTAGATGACTCCCACTAAACACCTCTAGGTGTTATACAATTTACTGAGCATCATACGGATTCATCGAGATTGGCAGAGTGTACACTTAATGTGCCACCTAGAGAGATTGCAGTAATAGAGCTGCTCCGACTCCATTCTCGTTTTCCTTTCGTTGTGAAACAAAGATGTCCCGGGCATTGCTAGCTCCTGGTTCGTAACTTGAGAAGATACCGAAGTTTCAGATATTCCTGTCAGACAAGTATTATTAACACTACTTCGTTTACGCAACTCACCCATTTTATTCGGTAAACTCATGGCGTACATATATAAGCATTTTATGCTTTCAGTTTGAAACGAGTGAGCTTCTCCATCCTGTTTATCTGAATGAGTTTTGTGTAAGTGGACGGGCTCTTATCCCTTCTACGTTTCTTTTCCACGATCTTGACAGCCCACAAGTGGAATAGTCAATTCCGAATTACTTTTGTGCTTGATCCTTGTTTCATATGGCTTGTCCGGATGCATGTGGAGTCCAGTTGACGACCGATTTCCGTTCGCATGAAATGCTTCGAAAGTGGCAGTCTTTATATGAGATTTGAAGGTTATTTTCCTTTGTCGGGGTCTAGAATCCCAATCCTTCTTGGCTAGTCTCACCACTTGTTGAGTCAATATATTCTTGAACCTTACGGACTGCCTTATACATGTCCGCTACCGAATAAAAGTGTCTGCGTCATCAGGGTTCGTATTTTCTAGCACACCTTGTACATTGATATTTCTCATCTATGGATGTTTCTGATAGGATTTTGCTCAGAATATGGTATATCAGGCAGTATTCTTACATCCACATCTGATTTAAGCAAGCGACTATCCAGCAAAACATCCTATGAGTCGGAAGTGTTAGTGGACTTTACACGAAGGAGTCTCGGGTGATTTTGGTGCCTTCAATTCCACTGCCAAGTTAGCGGTGTAACTACGAGTGGTTCAAATCTGAAGAGTCCGAGCTTCCTGTTCAACGCTTCTCAGTGCATCCTGTCATTTTTGTTCCACAGACTGAGAAGAATATCAGAGCTATCTTTACGGTCCTTGATTATGAGAGAATCATCGTGAACCGTGATCGTTTTCCTAGGTTTTCATGTACTCTGAGGTTGGAATCCTTTTAGTTGGGTAGTTTGAATGAATTCCGGATACCCGCCCTCTTAACTTACTGGTTGCACAATCTTAGGGATAAGATGCTTGGCCAAAACACTAGCTGATTTGACTACAAGACCTGAACTGTTCAGTCTTTTTGATAGTGACACTCTATCCTCCTTAACTCTGTTGGCGGAGGTCTTGTCGCCTACAGAAGTTTGGGGGACCACAGATGCACTTAGGGAGTCTGTGTCGGAAGGCCTGAGCTTGACGAGCGTCTAACACTGTTGACGTTATGTTGTTGCTGAGCTTCAGCGTTTTCTCACTAGTGCTGATGTGTGTTCCATCAATATTACTGTTGTTAAAGACTCCCTTTTCTATTTCACTATGCGCCTTTGTATGTATGTCCGTTTCGGGACTGCCTATTTTGGGTTGGCTGACGACATTTTACACAAACCTGTCAAGAGAATAATGACTTCATCCGACAAATCCTTAGTATCATGTTGCAACTGCCTCGTACCCACCTATGATCTGACTTACTAAGTGTGTTGTAAGCACTTACTATAACATACGTGGATGTCTCATTAAACCATCCTTTTCATTTGCATGGGTTCTTCACGGCTACATGTGAGTTGTTAGATAAATTCTAGCGAGTTGACGACCACAAAACAAACAAGAAACGATACTCTTGAAACGGATAAAAATGGATGGTTCAAAAGGCAAGGATATATTAAAACTAAATGGTTCAAATGGTTCAAATGGTTGTGGACGGAATAGAAGAAGCTTTCGCTTAACAGGCTTCCGTGTCTAGTAGCAGGGGATCACCAAATCCTCCAGGCAGGAACCTAGGTATGTTAACAATAAAAGAGGAAAAGAGATTGGTAAATCATAATGTGATGCTGTTCTTGGTCCTTAAGAATAGGTCAAGTTGCCTCTTGAAGGACTCCTGAGAAGTCGCTTGGACTAGCTCGGCTGGCAGCGAATTCCAGCTTTTGACAACTCTTAAGGAGTAGAAATTGTGTCTACATTCCGTCTTGCTATGTTGTGTTTCCAGTTTCTGGGTGTTACCCCTTAGGTTGTTATTCGAACTAAGCTTAAGTAGGTGTTTAAGAGGATGTCCAGAAGTGTTAAGAATACTATAAGCCATTAATAAATCACCTCTAAGACGCCTATATTCTAATGGGTAAAGGTCTAGTGAACGGAGGCGTTCTTCGTAAGGCTTAGATTTGAGTCCTCGAACTGATTTCGTGGCTCGCCGTTGGATACGCTCCAAAGTGACCTTGTCCTTTTGGAGTGAGGGGGGAGTACTATGTTTCCGTACTCTAAATGGGGACGGATGAAACTATTGAAGATTGTGTGGAAAGTTCTTCCGTCAAACTGGCCAAAAATGCGCCTCAACGTTACCAGTGCAAGGTTTGCTCGGAAGGCATTTTTGTCACAGTTAGCGTAAGACTTCAAATCATGGGGCACCAGGACTCCTAAATCTTTTTCGACTTGGGATACTACTAGAGAGGAGTTTCCTAAGTTGTAACTGTAGTTTGCAACATGTCGCAGATGGACTACTTTACACTTTGAAGTGTTAAAGGTAAGTCCGTTATCGTCTGCCCAACTTTGAAGTCGAGTCAGATCCTCCTGAAGTGCCTGTATGTCGTCTTGGTTGCGTATCTCTCTCCAAAGTTTCACGTCGTCGGCAAAAAGTAATAAGTCTGACGTTACCTGTTGAGGAAGATCATTTATGTAGATCAAGAAGAGAAGAGGCCCTAGTACTGAGCCCTGGGGGACCCCACTAGGACATTCCATAGCCTGAGATAAAGTGAAATTAACCCTAACCTTAAAGTGTCGATTTTTTAGGTATGAAGTAAGCCAATCGATTAGGGGTGGTTTGATACCTAGTCGTTTGAGCTTGTTGATAAGACACATGTGGTTAACCTTATCAAAAGCTTTTGAGAAATCAAGGTAAATGACATCAACCTTTCCCTTGCAATCGAGGATGCTTGTCCATCTGTCCACCGCAGTCAGCAGGTTGGTTATACAAGAGTAACCCTTCCTGAAACCATGCTGTTGGGGTGAGAAGAAATTTAAGGACAGTAGATAGTCATTTAAACCGTCGCATATCAGGGACTCCATGAGTTTTGAAGGTAATGACAGAAGAGCCACCGGCCGATAACTTGAAGGTTCATTGCGTCGACCACCTTTGAAAATTGGTGTGATGTGAGCCAACTTCCAATTTTCCGGTAATTTGCCTCGGCTAAGCGAGTGAGAAAACATCACGCTAAGCGGCGTTGCCAGGATTGAGGCTGCCTCCCTCAGTATGGCAGGATGAACCATATCCGGGCCAGGAGAAGTGTCTAGTCTTAAGTGCTGCAATTTCCGGAACACCAAGTCAGCGCTTAGGTCCACTTCAGAAAGTCCTGTGGAATTGCAGATGAAACTGTCGTCAGTAAAGTTGATGTCAGCCGGTTGAAATGTTTGAGAGTAATGTGCCGCCAGAAGGTTAGCGGCGTCGCCATCGTTGTTGGTCGGGCCGTTAAGACCTACCAGTTGAGAAACTCCTGTTTTGGCTTGACGAAGAGAGGCTGCATAACGGAATAAGCTTCTAGGGTTAGAGGCGAATTTGTCCATAAGCTTTGTTTGGTACTGAAGCCTGTCTTCTCTTATAGCCTTCGTGCATATGTTCCTGATATGTTTATATTGCCTATACGCTCCATCGTTATTAGTTCGTTTGTATTCCGCCCAGCAGTGCCTTTTGCGGCTTAGCAGGCGAAGGGTACGGTTCTTGATTACTGTAGGTGGCTTGCAGCTTTTGGGAACCGTTTGAGGAACTGAATGGTCTGTAGCACATAAGAGCGTGTGCAGTAAGAAGTCCCAATGACCATCCACATCGAGTTGAGGGTGAACATCCCAAGCCACCTGTTGTAGATAGTCATGTAGAGCTGGGACATTCAGCCGTTTAAAATTCCAACGCAAATTATTGTTGGGATACCTTAGCTTAGTTTTGATGACAAAACTGAAGGCTATGACGGCATGATCGCTCTTTCCCAGAGGAGCCAGGATTGAGAGGTTGTCGACTAGGAATTCTTCGTTAGTGAATACACAGTCTAAGCGCGATGGTGTCTGACTGTTTCTCCAACGAGTTGCCGACCTCACGTTTTCATATAAGCCCAAGTCATCGATGAGGTTGTAGAACCGAGCTTCAATTGAGTTGTCGCCTCCAGTGTACGTGTGTTCCGCGAAGTTGACTCTAGGGAGATTAAAGTCCCCTAGAATCAGGATGTGTGTGAAACCGAGACGGATAGAGCGGGATAGTCCTTCCAGCATACGACTATCGTACTCGATGTCGGCAGTTGGCTTTCTGTAAATGACTCCGACTAGACACCTCGAAGTACTAGACAATCTTACAGAGCACCATATGGATTCCTCAAGATTGTTAAACTCGAGGTTGTGAACTTGGTGCACCTCCAAGCAAGAGCTTATGTATATGGCTACTCCGCCCCCAATTCCTGTTTTTCTGTCGTTGCGGAACAAAGTCATCCCAGGTAATGCTAACTCTTGGTCCGAGAACTGAGAAGATATCCAGGTTTCAGATATTCCTATCAGATGGGCCTTATTAGCGTTGCTAAGTTCACGTAGTTCATCCAGTTTGTTTGGTAGACTCGCGGCGTTCATATATAAGCAGTTTATGCTTTCAATTTGGAACGCGTGAGCTTCGTCCTGTTTTTCTGTATGAACCTTATGTGAATGGACAGGTAGCCCACCTATATGAGGTTTGCCGAGGTGGTAGGCCCTGTCCTTTACACGTTTTTTTATCGTTTAGACAGTCCACAAGTGGAATGGTCAACTCCAACTTGCCTTTGTTCTTGGTCCTAGCTTCGTATGGCCTATCCGGGTGCATGTGGATTCCAGGTGGCAATCGACGTCTATTAGCACGAAATGCTTCCAGAACTGCAGCCGCCATGTGGGAAGATGGGAAGGTTATCTTCATTAGACGGGGTCTGGGTCACCGTCCTTCTTGGCTAGTCTCGTCACATGCTGAGTCAGTATGTGTTTGAGCCTCAAGGACTGTTTGATGAATTTCCATTCCCTGATGTCAGAATGTGATTGAGTAGGGTCTGCATTTTCCGGTATACCTTGACAATTATGTTTCTACCGCGGAAAAACTTCTCGCGAGATTCTTTAGGGATGTTTCGTATGATATTGCGCTCAGAGTACGGTATGTCGGGCAATATTCTTACGTTACCATCTGATTTCAGCAAGTGACTTGCTAGCAAGACGTCCTCTACGTCGGTAGCATTCTTAAATGTTACTCGGAGAAGCCTCGGGTGATTTAGATGCTTAGAATCCTTTCCTCGAGTGAGCCGGGTGACCGTCAAAGGCTCTATTCTAGGAAGTTCAAGCTTCTTGTTCAATTCACCCCAGAGCATCCTGTCGTTTTTGTCCTGCAGACTGAGAGGAAGGTCAGGATTGTCAACGAGGTTCATGATAATGAGAGAATCGTCACGAACTGTTGTTAATTTACCAGGTTTCACGATGGGTTCAGGTTTAATAACTTGTTGTTTGGAGGTCAGTGTGCGTTTTTGAATCTTGGGCTCTTTATTGACCGGACGAACAGTCTTGGGGGTAGACTGTGCGACCAAATCACCAGTTATTTTCCGTGCAGCAACACTTGGGTTGCTCGGCTTAGGCGGTGATGCCTGGTTTTTTTGGGCTCTCTTAACGTGGGTCGAATCACCTACAGGGTTTTTGGGAACCACTGTTGTGTCCAGGGACCCTGAGCTGGGAGACCCGAGTTTGCTTAGGGAGTCTAGTACTGTCGACGTAATGATGGTGCTGAGCCTCAACACGTCGTCATTAGTGTTGATGGATGCTCCATCGATGGTATGCCTGTCGACATCCCTATTTTTGAGTCCGTCACACGCTCTTGTTTGTCGACCGGATTTTTTACTAGTGTTATCCAAGTTAACTGACAACTTGTTCCGAAGACCTGTCAGTAGGACAATGATGTTACTCAGCAAGACAACTGCGTCCGTGCTGCACGTGACACATACCCACTTTTGGTCTGACTTGCTGAGTTTGTTGTAAGAAGTTGCTGTCAGATCTGTGCATGCTTCGTGGAACCAACCTTTGCAGTTGTCGCACTGCATGCCAGTTGTGACAGCAAAACGGCATCCCGGACGTTTGCATGAGTTTTTCATGACTGTGTTGAAGCAAACTATGTTATAGATGCTTGCAAGAGCCTAAGCCTTTTAAAAAAACACTAAAAAGCACACTGAAAACGGACAAAAATGGACAAAACGAGTGATATAAACTGAAACTAGTCTATACGTGAAAAACAAAAAAAACCGAATAGTAAGCTGAGGCAAAACCACAGGTAACTATTTAATATAGTGAGACTCAAAAAAAAGTAATCTACCGAACGTATAGCTCAGGATAGATTCTTTAGAACTGAAATGGTACTTTTGTTGCGTAAGAACACAGCAAAAGTTTGATAAATGCAAATCACGTTAGGACTAAACTTCCCGTTCGAAAATCACGCAGTTTTGGTAGCCATTGAAAATTGTGAAAACCAAATAATAAGCTGAGGCAAAATCACAGATAAAAATATGAGCAATGAGGGTACTTTTGTCAGACAATCAGGCACAACAATTTTAGTTACATGACTTAGTCATTTATTACGACAGTTGCATTGAAATTAAATTTACATGGCGCACTATCTGCTACTGTGCGTTGTGACAGGTTGCGTCCGCTTTTGTTGCGCGCTTTTCAGTCTGCTTGTTCATTCAGTACGTTGTTAAATATTATGAGGAAAATATGATGAGCTGGGTTATCGTTTTACCTTCTTGAATATATTTTTTGTACTTCCTACTTATAGATAGTTCCCTGCTTGTTCACTGCCAGATCCGTGTTTTCCAATCACTGACGGAACCTAAAGAGTCAAGTGTTGAGGCCCTTTACATGTGGTATGTCTTGGATTTATTTGTCCTTTACCTAGCTGTACCAAGATTGTGCATATAATGTATTCTAACCTGTTTATTCTCACCAGTAGGCGTTTTCAGACAAAATTTCTCGACTACTTTCAAATCCAGTAGTGTTTGCACGTGGTATCTCGTACTTAGTAATGAAATTCTTTTTACTTCGTTCGTTTATTCGAGGCTGTTTTAAGGCACTTTTACTCATGCTTAGGAGGTGATTTAGATCCTTTGGACATGTTAAATTTAAGTTACAGTGGATAGAAATAAACCGCATGATATTCATAAATCCTGTTAACGGTAACGGAATTCCATTCGTTCTGTGGATTACGTATAATAACCCCATAGTTTCAATTGCGTAATATAAAAGTCAAGCTGTTAGACGTCTTAGACGTTCTTAAACTCTCTCCACTTCAGCGTATGAGTCCAAGCGCTGTGTATATATATTGTAGTTGGGTTCGCTGTCAAGTTCCAGTGGTCAGTATTGTAAGTTCTTAGTACACGTAAACTTCGCAAAACACAAGAAAGCTGTGAAAATGGGATAACCTAATCCATTGAGCGAAGTTATCCCCTACTTACAAATTCCCCCGTGGTATTATTTATCTACTGATCGGTTTCGAATACATGGTTGATAAATATCCTTACCTAGAATAGGAACTGTTTCGCATTTGAATTTGTCTTCCGTGAATCTTCGGGCTTCATAACAATGAGCCATGTTTCCGGAGATTTATGCTCACATATTTTCAAAGACTCATTACCTATGTACTACCCCCTACAGCAGATATCTGAACAATAACTTTGTCCTACCATATACAGGTGACCACGTGTTGACTATGAAGTGGGTAAACAAGCCCTTATCATTTGTCATCCCACCTAAGTCCTTAGTATCATCATATGGTGTCCTGATTGTTACTGGGATTCAATGGTACTCCGTTTATTTACAATTTATTGGGTATTGGGAGATGAACATAACCATAAAAACTGCTATATTACATACTGGTATTTAGCTTCTCAAGCGATGGACTCACCTAATTTTATGAACTTATACTCGATCTAGTTTAGATGGTAAACTGTACTATGCAAAGACTTTCTAAATACCATGTTGTGAAATGTATAGTAGTTTCAAGAGGAAACCGAGAATCGTTCTTGTAACCTATGATGATATGTTTCTGAACGAAAATCTTGGGATTGACAAGAAAGTTTACCAAGTAATTCTTGTCAACAGGGATTGGTTGTAAACTAGAAGTTGCTTATACATTCTGTGCATTTAGGTCGTGAGATATTTGTCAATTAATACATATTTGTCTACTACCACCGTGCCTGTACTTGTCTCTGATATCGCCTCCACTTGATTCTGTTGTTTAGTAGTCCTACTGTGTATGACAATCAAGGTATTTTACTTAAAGTTTTGTTAATACGATTCATACCTTCCAGTGACGTACACTGTATTTTGAAGCCTTTCTGAATAATTACCTTCTCAAGACTCAATTTCAAAGTTTCTTGCTTGCCACTCAGCACTCGTAGACTAGGTCATCCAAGTGGTTGTATGCAATAGTATTATATGTATGGCTTTCATTCTGGGTCTTACTCTGATACATTTATTAGGCATCAAAAACTTTTTGTCCTAGAAAACAAGGTGTTGAGCTACTTCGTGGGATACATTTTCCTTTTGTGACAAACATGTCTCGTTCCACTAATAAAGGTGGTATAATACATGGCAAAAAACAATTCCATTTTCACTCATAAACTCTTATATGTATTATCTTTATAAATGCATAAAACCACCTTTCTCTATTGTCCCATTCAAGCAGTGGAGTCAGACAGAGTTGTCCAATATCACCATTCCTCTTCAACTTTGCCATCAATGACATTCTGGAAACAGCTCTGATGAATGTAAATAATAGTCAGTCAGTCAGTAACAACGTAGAACTTCGTACGTACGTACATCAGTTCGAGTTGCCACACCACATTAGCACAGAGATGCAGTGGTCGATTCAAATCCCGTAGTGGTAGATGCAGTAAAAGTATAAGCAGTAATCGGAAAATTAGGGTTTGGAGATGTTATTTAAAGAGTATAATCCAGTGAAATAAATTTGGAAAGAGGAAAAAAAAGAGACATGAAGAATTCAGAAGATTAGAATTTGGGAGAACACAAAGAGTGGATGCACCTGCGCCATTGCAAACGATTTTGAGTCGTCATTCAGGGTCTCTAACCATCGGTTGCTGTCATCTCGCGGTCCCCAACCAGGTAGTCTACACCTACCAACATGACTCAGTTCACTTGTCAGTGACTTCATGGACTTGTGCCATGTTTTGGTTTGGCCGCCCCTAGCTTTCTTCCAACCTACTCCTATACCACTGAACATAGCACGTCGAGGCAGTCGGTCGTTGGGCATACGTAACACGTGTCCAAGCCATCTCAACTGATGAAGTTTCACTACTTCATCAATTGATTTGCCATCCTTACCTAGTACCCGTTTCCTAACAACTGTGTTACTTACTCGATGGTCCCATGATATACGAGCAATGTTTCGAAGACACCTATGATCAAATACTAGTAACCTACGGATATCCTCTACTCTTACCGGCCATGTTTCACTGCCATAAAGTAGGACGGAACGAACTGCTGCGCAGTAAACACGTCCTTTGGTTGATAGACGGATATCTCGCCTACGCCATAAATGACGCAAGTTGGCAAAAGCTAGTCGAGCCTTCTGTATCCGTGCTGAGATTTCGTCACACACCAGACCACAAGGGCTGATGAGACTTCCAAGATAAGTGAAGCGGTCGACACACTCAACTACTTCACTCCCTATCACTAGTTCGGGTGTCGATGTAACCCAATCCTGAAGCAACATTTTGCATTTCGAGGGAGAGAATCGCATCCCGAACATGCTTGCATTGTTGCTTAGAGTGGTCAGAAGACTCTGCATTTTGTCAGCGTCTTCACCAAATAAAACTATGTCATCAGCATATTCTAAGTCAACAAGTGAACCTCCCGGTAGAAGTTCAACCCCTGTAAATTTAGATGAGGAGAGTGTTATCTCTAAAAGTACGTCGACCACAAAGTTGAACAAGAATGGGGAGAGTGGACAGCCCTGACGAACACCACTTGAGGTAATCAATTCTGATGACAGTTCGCCATAAGCTCTCACTCTACCAGTTGTGTTCGAGTAGAGAGCCTTTATAAGGTTAATGTACTTCTTTGGTACTCCTTTCAGTGACAAACACTGCCATAGAACCTCACGATCAACAGAGTCGAATGCCGCCTTAAGGTCGAGAAATACTACCATTGTGGGGCGTCTGAATGTGTGTCTGTGTTCTAGAACCTGACGTAGTGTGAATATCTGATCTATACAACCACGTCCAGGTCGAAAACCGGCCTGGTTTTCTCTAATCTGCTCTTCACGAGCTTTGATTAGGCGTCGAAGTATTATTGAAGCTAATATTTTAGACACTATATTAGTCAAACTGATTCCTCTGTGATTGTCACAAGAGGACTTTTGTCCTTTCTTATAGACTGGCACAATCAGTGATTGAGACCAGTCAGATGGGATTACGTCCAGTTCCCAAATTCTACCTAAGACCTCGGTTAATCTCATTGCTAATACTGGACCACCATCCTTAAAAATCTCAGGAGTAAACCTGTCAGGGCCTGCTGCTCTCCCTCGTTTCAGATTTCCTATGGCTTTTTCAACTTCGTAAAGGGACGGAGGACCTACATTAACTTGCCATTCAGGTTGACTAGAGATCGTGGGAAACCGAAGTGTGGCTGAAGGCCAGTTGAACTGATCCCTAAAGTGTTCTGCCCATCGATCCAATCTCCTGGATTGAGAATGAATAATATGTCCATCTTTTTCTGAGATTGTTTCGCTAACGGTCGGGTTCCTAATTCCGGTTTCCTTAACGAGTCTGAACAATTGTCTGCTATTACCTATTGCCGCTGCCTTTTCCATCTCTCTTGCTTTCGCTACCCACCACTGTTCGCGATCATTGCGTAGACTTCTTGTCAGCTTGCGCTTAAGCTGACTCCGCTCTTCATTATGTTCAGAGCCAGGTGGAATGAGTTTCCGAGCATCTATCAGTGCGATAGATGCTGCTGAGATCCAGTGTTGCTCCCTAACCTTCTGGTTTACCTTACTAGCAGATATCACTGCTGTTTCCACAGCTTTTCGGATATCATTCCATGCTGCATCGGGGTGGGCATCACATACATGGCTGCCTAACTGTTTTCCTAGTTGTTCCTGAAATATACTCTTAGCTTGACTATCATTAAGTAGGCCCTAAGAGGTTTCCTTGCAGCGTCTTTCCTACGTCCAGTAAGACGCAAGCAAATACGCGCTCGCACTAGAGCATGATCTGAATCTAGGCATGTGCTCCAGAATGAGCGACAGTCTTCTATCGAGCCCCTCCATCGGTGGCTGATAGCGATGTGATCTATTTGGGTCCAACGTTGGGACGAATTAGGGGGTCGCCATGTTAAAAGATGTTTTTCCTTATGCTTAAAGTTAGTATTTGCAAGGAACAGGCGGTTATCTGAGCATAGCTGCAACAGACGGTCGCCATTATCTGTTCTTTGAGCCACGACACCATAAGATCCACCTAGGTGTCTTTCCCTATCGCTTAGTTTACCTACTTGAGCATTAAAGTCACCGGCCACTATTACTACATCCGAGCGCTTAGCTTTTCGGAGAAGGTCCGAAAGCTTTCTGTAAAACTCATCTTTTACATCATCTGAGCTGCAGTCAGTGGGAGAATAGGCAGAGACGACGAAGAGGCAACGACGAGTGTCCCTATCTTTCCGGATTCTTACTGTTCCGTTCAGTCGGACAGCGCACAAACGACTGTCTACTGGGATCCACTCTAAGAGAGCTAGTTCTGCCCTAGGACTCAATGCTATACCTACGCCGGCGAGGCCACGGGAAGCAGAATCAGGGCTTCCAGATACACGAAGCGTAAATCGAGTCGGTTCTTTATTTTGGCATGGTGAGGTCAAATGAATGACGCTACTTGGATCCTGTATGCGCGTTTCGGAGACGCAGCACACATCGATGGCGCGAGATTCTAAAGTTTTAGCTAAGGAAGCCTGCTGTCCTATTTGGCAAAGTGTTCGTACGTTAAAAGCTCCTACGTGTAGTTTAGAGCGTGGTTTCAGGAGACCAGGAATGGCGTTCCACGTACTCGAATCGTTTGCCCTAGCGGTGCGAGGTGATAAAGAGACGTGAGGAGGGTTAGTCATGGAGATAAGAGAGGTATTAGGAGGTGTAGGAAGGATTTGAATGTGACCACCTTGGTCTCTTGTGCTGTTACGGGTATGAGGGCTGATGTCACTTCCCGGCTGCCCACACCGTGGAAGGGTATTTCTTGAGGAACCTGAAAAGGAAATTGGATTAGTGTTGGTCTTGACGACCTGGGAGCGTGACCGCAGAGCCCAAGGGACAACTGCTTGAGGCCGGTCGCGCACGGCCTTTTTGTGGAAGGTTTTTGACGTGTTAGCTCCGTTCTTCAAAGGGCCTTACCGCCGGAGACGGAAATCCGTGAGGTAAGGTGAGGTGTGACATTTTTAGGGTCGACCTTTTCTAACCCCACCCCTCCTTGTGGGAAGGCAGCATCGCTGTCATGCTGGTTGTCCGAAGGAAACACCTTACTGCTGTCACACCCCTCTACAGTCAGCAGTACGACTTCGCCCTCAGACCTTGAGTTGCTGCTTTTAGTCTTACCGTTCACCAATCGACCTGCCTGGCATGGTAGAACCTACAGGAACATATGTTCCAGCCAATATAGCTCGGTTGGGTCATCACGATAGGCAAGCCCGACCACCGCGTCAAGGTAGCAGCTTCGATCGGGGTAAGTAATAGTGTTGTGGATCTGTTGCCTGGAGAAACACTTCTCGACCTTGAGTATGCGGACGATATTGTCTTACTGTGCGATAATGCCCAAGGCATTCAATCTGCACTTAATCAGTTGGCAATCAGTGTCCGTAGGTACAGTATGTGCTTTGCACCTTCGAAGTGCAAATTACTCCTACAAGACTGGCAGGATTCTAATCCTGTACTCATCCTGGATGGTAAGCAGATAAAAGCAGTCAAGAAGTTCGTGTATCTGGGTAGCTGCACAAGTGCTGGTGGGGGTGTGAGTAATGAGATCAATGCACGTATAGTGAAAGCCAGAGCGGCTTATGCCAATCTGGGCCATCTTTGGCGCCTTCGTGATGTTAATCTGGCTGTAAAAGGTCGGATCTACAACGCGTCGGTGAGAGCAGTTTTGCTCTATGCTTGTGAAACCTGGTCTCCCCGAGTTGAGGACGTTAGACGACTCTCTGTGTTCGATCATCGCTGTCTCCGGAGGATTGCTGACATTCAGTGGCAACACCATGTCAGTAATGCAGAGGTTCGGCATCATGTGTTCGGGCACAGAGATGATAATGCAATCGGTGTCACCATCTTGAAACACCGACTTTGGTGGCTTGGACATGTTCTACGAATGTCGTCCCAGAGAATCCCACGTCGTGTATTATTTGCCGACTCTGGGACTGGTTGGAAGGAGCGGAGAGGTGGTCAGTGCATGACATGGGGTCATGGCATGAGAGAAAGCTGCAAAGGACTGGCTTCTGTCGGTCATTCACGACTCCCTGGTTGGGGTCTGAGAGATGGTGCAACACAGTAGCTAGAGACGTTATCAGATATGGCTCAGAATAGAAGCTAGTGGCGATCCTGCTGTAACCTTCTTTTACTTTCTTCATAAAAAGTGGTTCTGTCTCCCTTACCTGAAAGATTTCTTCCGATTGTACCTTTGCGTTCCCTCATTACTACCACACTACCTTACACCAATCTCTCCGTTATTGTTCTCTTTTTTTTCTATTTCTCTTCAAATTCTCATTGTTTTGTGTGGCGCATATATACTGGCACTCTCTTGTACCAATATTCATGTGTTCAAATAAATAAATAAATTACTCAGAATAGAAGCCAGTGGCGATCCTGCTGTAACCTTCTTTTACTTTCTTCATAAAAAGTGGTTGTACCTTCCTTAACTGAAAGAACTCTTCTGGTTGTACCTTTCCGTTTCCCCTGTTATTATTATTATTATTATTATTATTATTATTATTATTATTATTGTTACACTACCATGCGCTAATCTGTGGTCGTTATTGTTATCTTTTTTCCTTTCTTCTCTCTTATACGCGCCTTACATCTCTTTTCTCTCCCCGTTCTCATTGTTATTGTGTGACGCATATATATTTGGTGCCCAAGTGTACCAATATTTATGTGTTCAAATAAATAAACAAATATTTTTATAAATATTTCGTCTTTGTTTATAATAGGGATGCCATCAATAGAAAGTGCACGTTTGCCTTTGAATGCAGAAGGCTTTTCATAACAACTACTACTACCATCCTTGTACAACAACTAAGCTTCCTAAATAAGTAGTTCACTTCTTATTCAGTTCAAAAACGACCACTACTCATGTTTAAAAATAGGTACAATGACTTTTATCATCACATATGGATTTTACTTATTGTTTTATTAGAATGTACATTACTTGCTGTTCAGCAATAATAACTATGTACCCTTAACATTTGAGTTTTTAATTACCTTCTCTCAGATTCATGTCTTCCGCCAAGAGTTTGAAATCTGGCTTTGTATCATTACAACTGAACCAAGTAGAATGGTGTGTTCCGTCAAGGTACAATGAACTTTCAATGATCGGGTATGGGGCGTACGGAACTGTTTGGTATGTCAACATTAACAAACCTTACATACACTTATATTTATCCATATATCTCCGAATATTGTTTTGTCTTGAGTTATCTTTTACTGAGCATTAGTGACATCTCATAATTCCGATCAAGTAGCCAACTAATAGGATCGCTGTCACAGATTATCTATTACGCTTTATTTTGCGTTGTTTCTTTGTGCTCTGCTGATTGAGTAATTTAACGTGCAAACTGTTTAAAATAAAATAAACCTTGGTACTAAAGCTATCGTTTGTTGAATGGGATTAATGCAATTTAAACTAGGTCACACGTGTTTTGTGTCTTGTAATTGTCCTCGAATATGTAATTTACTGTCACCTCATTGCGCAGTTGAAATATTTGCTCTCCAATAAACAACCGATAAGAGTTTGTAAGCGTAGTGCTCATTTAACCCCAGAAATCAACGGTTCATTAAGTTTAAACTCAGCTCATTTTCATCAACCTGTAAAAAGATAAGTTTTAACCTATTGAAAAAATAGGAAAAGTTTGTATGTTGGCAACTTTAATTTCAAAATTTCTATAGAAAGAGACTGAAATTCTTTATTTCCTCCTGCTGCGCTTAAACATTTCAACTGTTTTATAAATTTTAGTTTTATGGTAAGGAATTCACCAAATAGTCATAAAAAATGTATCCGATAATTTTGTTAGTTTTTCCAACAGTAAAATAAAGGTTAATTATTTAGTCGGTTAGTCATAGCTGACTTAGGGCCCGCTACAAATATAACTTATTTCAAGTTGATGTGTTAATACTATGAGATGAAAGTAGCAAGATGAATAGGAAAAGAATTCTAATAATGTTGTAGCAATGGTAATGAGAAAGACTAAACATCTATCTTATGGTTTGAAAAAACGATAAAAAGTCATGTGTGAAAGAAATGTGTAACTGAAGATCCAACGAGAGATAAAGAGTGAATGTATCTGTTTCAGTGTGACCGTTTATAAACCTTGCTACCCAATATCTTCAGCTACTAATTGTTATTCCGCGGACTCCAATTAGATAATCTACATCTACGAACATGGCTTAAACAAACAGTCATTTAGGATGGAATATGTTATATCCGAGCGAAGATTAAATCACGAGTAACTTCTGAGACATACTAATTGACTAATATTATCCATACATTCTTATGGTATAACTATTCAATAATTAGATTATGTATATTTATATTCCTCTTATTATAAGCTTTATTTTGACCTATAATTTATTATTATACGATTTACGGTTCTTAAGCTATGGTCAGTTTATTAACTACTACCTCCCACGTTCACAGCCACTTTTTGGCTTTATTGTGTACAAATATTATTTCCTATTTTATGGTGCGTCGCGGTCTGTTCGATTGATATTTAAACCCAGTATGTCTGAAATAAATGATCCAATTCGATTCGCATATTAGAAGCTGGTATTCGGTGTTCTGGACTCAACTGGACGGGCTAGGCGAACATAGGACCAATAAGAACGCTAGACTCCCCATACCGGTCGAACGTCATTGGTTTGGTACAGTGCGAAGATTGTATAAGTCTCATTTTGATTGGTGGATAAATCAGGACATAAAGTCATAACAGGATATTTAGCCCATACTTACTGTCCTAGTTGTAAAAATTAGACGTTACTTGATGGGATAGTCAAGCATCAAAGACAAAGTACAATGTGTGCATCTCTGATATGAGAAAGGGACAGAGTTATTTGAAAAATAACTTTGGAAGCTCATTAAAACCCGTTTCCGTCTCCATTTTTATGAAGTTTTTCACACTCTTACATCTCACGTTTGTTAGAAGTCGTAACTCGTTTGTTTGTTCGCACTTGGGAAATGGGTTGTCCAAGTTATTCTCCAGTAGTATGTATGTTATTATTTCTCGAGGTTAACTCCCATCACATAATTTTCCAGCTTGATCTTATAATCTCTATTTTCTTGCCGATGTGACTGTTGTTATAGCGTTTAAGTAATTGTAAATTTCTCAGTGTATGTTAGATACCTCACTCATCTGTCATGCTACATAAGTAATTTTCCATTATTAATTGTTGTCGTTTATCTGTTTTCCTCAATATATGCAGTTCTGCCCACGATAACAAATTAAACCGTCGTGTAGCCATCAAAAAGTTGAGTAGACCCTTTGAAAATATTGAATATACGAAACGAACATATAGGGAAATCAATATTTTATCTCAAATGGATCATGAAAATGTAAGTCAATAAAAACGTGTTTCTGGTCATCAGATCCAATACTCAAAAGAGTATTGGGTCTGTAGTTTGTTAGGAAAGTAATCGAATAACTAATTACTTGACAATTTCGGGTTAACTTAATTGACGTTGAAATAAGTACATAAGTAATGTTCTATTTTTTAGCTACAGTTAGTTTTGAAGTTCCAGTTGGCAGTTTATTGCTCCACACTAATTTCCTTTGCTGAAACTAAGCATAATGTACATCAACTTATGTTGTGAATTACCACTCATTTGTGATAATGTAGCTTCATTTGTTATTATGTACCCAAGTACTACGACACTAGCCATTACTATGGTTTCGATATATGTAACAATTATTATAATATTTAAATAGTTATAGGAAATCTTCAAATGATCCTATTACTAATCAATCAGCAAATTGTTGCAGTTAGTGATAATACTGTTAAGGTGGGAAGTTCATTATTGACCTTTTCTAGAAACTGGATTAATTATATAATCCGTCGCAACATAATATTGTCGTATTGTTCCCCTCAGTACTGATAAGCTTACTGTTCGCCATCATTAATTTAAGTGATTTAGTAGTAAATTACTATACAATTTGATTTAACTTGTTAACTACTAGTGAAGGTGGTTGTACCTCTAAATCTGTAACTGTTATATCTACGCTTTTCAGAACTACAGGAAGGTATGAAATAATTATTAAAACGATGTAACTCGTATTCTGAGCGGGATTAAGCTTGAATCCATATCATACTGTGTTTGTACGACTTTTGGAACTGTTTTCTGTAGTATTATTTTTTCTTGTCGGTCATCGATAATTAAATTGGCACCAAGGTTTTTAAATTAATCATGAAAGTATTGTGTTTTTTATGTGAATTTCAACTAAACATTCCACCAGTCTGCTTTTTTATCTAATAATTAATAAGTCTTAACTCCTGGATATTGTTGTTTTATCAATTTTTCTAGCATGATTTTTGAATTAGATTTAAGTTTGCAATAACGAATCAGTTTATCGTAGAATGATAGGCTCTTTTACTCTACTGATACACGACTCTAATAGTTCTCGTTTCAATTCGTGTTGTAGACTACTAAGTTATGGTAGTCAATTCTTGTTGCTAGTCTCTTTAGTGTCACTTGATCACCAATGCTATTTGTATTCTTCTTTCTATTCTTATAGATCGTTTGTTTGATTGATGCTTTTTCACCACAGACATCATTAAAAGAATTTACAGATATGTATGTTGAAATTTAAAGTTTAGAATTTGATTTTTGAATGAAATTATTTTTATAGAAATGATAGTTTAGTTTGTGACTTGAAACGATATTTCAAATATGTCACGTGACGGTATTTTGATGTAGTTGGTAACAAAACAGTAAATGCCGATTGGTTATCCTTTGACAAAATTATATACCCCCTTTATGTCCAATAAATTTCCAGACTGGTCTACATCCAATTTTAATGAGAAGTAGTAAAATCTCAGTGTATTCGCAAAACTTCGGGGGTATTTATGGTGATAAAACAATTTTTCAAGCGAATCAAACGTTTCAATAAGAGCCACAAAAATTGCAAGGTTGGTGCAATGGTAAAACAACCGTGTACCACCATTATTTACATTAACATCGAAGTTGTGTAGTGTAATGCCGCCTCCGATTCCGGACTCTTTGTCTGGATAATTATTAACGAACCGAATTTAGGCAGATCGTCTGTACATGTAATTATAACAAATCACGTATTTGTGGAGCTATATGAAACGACGAGGTAGATGATAAAAATAAGTTTTTAAAACTTTCATCAGTGAACAATAATATAAGAAATACCCCAAGTTTATTGCTGCAAATGGGTAGTACTTCTAAGGAAATAAAGTTGGTGTACCGTGAATTTCAGATAATAGGATCTTCTGATTGCAGTCTGCTCTTTGTTAGACAGTTTATTCATGTAATCCAATATCTACGTAGATTCATGTACTTAGCCGTAAAGTAAACCCATTGTGTTTAATTTGAACGCACTATCTGGTTTTAAAGATGAAGTTCACCTACTCACCCATTGTTGCACAAATATGAAGGATAATTTAATGATGAGTCATATTGTGTAAATAAAACTTTAGTTGACAAAAAGTCAGCCATTCATTTGAAATCTTACTGAACTGTTAGCTAAAATAATTAGTGTTTACTGCATTTTCGCATCTGGCGTAAATATGCCGTGATTATCATATTAACAAATCCAAAAGTTTCAGTCATTAATGTCTATGATGGCTAGACGAAATGTATTTTATTTGTTTCTAAGGTTAATACAACCGTATTTAATAAAATGATGAGTAAATACTTTGAGAAACTAGACATAAGTATGTTATTTAGTCTTAAATACACATTGGTTATCAGCAAGCTATTGCTCTTGACATCTGTGTTCGGTAAATACATGCATTTTGTAGTAATTTTTTATTGTTTGATTAAATTTTTCTCACCAGTTATCTAGTAACACCATTGATGGGTGCTGATCTTGGAGCTATTATTGAAACTCAATCGTTATCAGATGAACAAATACGTTTTCTTGTGTATCAAATTTTAAGGGGTTTAAAAGTAAGTTGAGTTAACTTAGAGGAGTACATTTTATCATCGTCTAAGTAAATTACCTGGGTTATTGAATTCATTGTAGTACGCAAATAGTTTCTGGAAGTTATGTAAAGGTAGATTTGTTGAGACTATCATAATATGTCATTGATTATCTGTCCAATGTTAACGATTAGAAAATCCTCCGGATATATGACTACCACAATACGTGTTTCATGTAGACTACAGTTATTATTCTGTAAATTTTAAAAAATGCTTTAAAAATTGTCAGTTGATGTCTTAGTGTAAAGCCATTTGTATAGGATTACTGTTGAACTTTTCAAAAAATTTTATGACTGAACCTTATATAAAAGTAATTGTCATAGAATAATATTTCTAATGATAACTATAAAAGGCTCCGTGAAAATCAACATTTACTAGTGAAAATTACGTTCTTCCAACATACTGTTTATGAAAATGATCAAAACCGTTCAACAGCAAATAACTGTTTCATCTTAATTTGTAACTGAGACCTGTGCATCGTTGACCGTATGTATTCAGAAATGTTTTGTAGCGGTCTTGTAATGAATATGTTAATATAGAATCGGGAATCTCAGTGTGGCATTTTTAGGCTTTGATTAGTTTGTTATTACACAGATTTATAGGCAGCACGCTACTCAAAAACTCATAGGGTTAAATGTATCTGCTTTGCCGTGTTTTGTCTTTCTCATAATCTTTGTTACAACATTATTGAAATTCGTTTCCCATTCATCTTTCTGCTTTCATCTCATAGTGTTAATGTTATACATCAACTTGCCCCCAAATGCCCTGGTACGGCCGAGAGTGGGGAAAGTTCGCTCTCCCTCTCGAAATGCTCTCACACGGCCACGCGTATATAGCCTCTGCCAGGGAAGTCCTACTCACTGCCTTCTCGTGGCGGGGGTGTTGTTTACGAAAATGAGAGGACGAAAAGCGAATGTCCGGCGTTTTAACCGGGTTCAAAACCAATGGTGCACATGGGCTCCAGTATCCTGCGGGAACAAATGGCGTATGAACCAATTGTTGGTCACCGGCTTCCATGGGACTGCATCTCCTCACGATGCTCCACTGCCTTGTGGATCAGACGTTCAGGTCGAAGGCTCGGGGTGTGGCCCCCTAAGAAAACCACCCGCTTCGGGTTGGGCACCCGGGCAGTATCACAGCCCTCACACATATCGAATGAGATTTGTGTGGCGCATATGTATTTGGTGCCTCTTTGTACCATTATCTATGTGTTGAAATAAATAATAAATACATCAACTTGAACTAAGGTATATTCGTGGCGGGCCCTACGTCAATTATAACTGACTAGTTAAAAAAGGTCATCTTATAACTATCAAATAATATTTTTATACTGAGATTGTAATAAAACCTGTATGCTTTCAGAGAAATTTTGATGTGAATAATATTATTTTAACTAAAGTTTTCTCCACGTTATTCATGGTAAAAACATTTTATTCTTATATCTATCTGAATATACCAAGTATCTAAGATGCTAGCCACGTATGATAGACGATTTTGATTGTTTTCTAGACTTCTATCTGTGGAGAACGATAGGTAAATTTCAATATCATTGGAAAATTCCTTAATCAAATACAGTCTTGGTAGTTGCTTAAATTAAAGTCCTATGTTGTCTTCATTCACATGTTTTGGAACTACAGCGGTATGCTTCCTGTTTTTTTCTTCTACATGCACTTGATGATTCGTTTTTCTGCTTTGTGTAGTCACATGCTATTATTTTATGTAATCATGCGTATTATTTTATTTCGTTTCATAGTACATGCACAGTATTGGCTTAATTCACCGAGATTTGAAACCAGCTAATATAGCAGTAAATGAAGATTGTGAATTGAAAATTCTCGACTTTGGCTTAGCACGCCAAAAACAGGAAGAAATGACTGGTTATGTTGCAACTCGTTGGTATCGAGCACCTGAAGTTATGTTGAATTGGATGCATTATAATGAATCCGGTAATAAAAAATGCATATTTATTCTTACGGTTTATCAATTTTTTCATCCCTTATTCACAGAAATGTTAATCTTTACGTTTTTTCATAAACACCAAGTTCATAGAAAATAAATCTGCAAACATACTCTTTCTTCTTTTTATCGTATTATTATCAATAACAGCAGAAAAGAAGCTTCTCAGTTGTCAACAGCTTCGATAGAGAACAATCTGTAATAGTAAAAATAGTTAAGCGATTAATCAATGTTTGTCAAGTCGTAATTTCTGTGTATTCTTCTGGACAGTTGCTACTGAAGTTGTTTTACGTATATGCTAGACATAAATATTCTGGACCATTATTGTTTTCAATTTGTGTACTAGTATTATTAAAACCAAGCATAATGATAAAGAGTTTCACTTTCAAAATTATATCTACCTTAATTTTGTGATTTTCTACCGTCTTTATAATTGTTTCTCAATGGCTGTCAAGATTTGAGTTCAATCTTTGACACAGGTGTTTCCATACTTTATCTGCCAAATTCTGAAGGACTTGCTGTTCTGTATTACCGATTCCTTGCATTTACCACTGTCTCTGACTTGTTCTCTTTTGAATATCTTTTGCTCATATTAGCTGGATACCATTTTATCCAATTACACTATCAATAACATTGAATGAGATTAAATAAGGATATCTATTTGATATGTTTAAAATGATGAACCTTGTAACCCGTACTATTGTGTTGTGTGATGCTTATACGGACAGATGTAAATAGTATGTATCAAGATTTGGAAGTAGGATCCTTACTGACACAAGAGGAACATGAGGAGAAGAGAATGAAAAGCAAAGGCAGTCAAAGTAGCAACAAGAATGGATGAACGATGGCGTTTGTAAGAGACAATTCAGGGAAGATGTACAATTGGTGTATTCAATGTATTGTTTTCATATCTTACAAATGCTATGTGATTTCGCATAATACAATGAATTGGTTTGTCCTAACCAAGTCTTCGTTCATCACACTATCAGTAAACTTTGAATTATTCACATGTTATTATCGATCAGCTTATCGAACATGTGTATTGTATTGAAGAAGATTAATGGTTTCATTTTTTTTAATTTCTCCATTTTTTTCAGTTGACGTTTGGTCCGTTGCATGTATTATGGCTGAATTGCGAAATCGTGCACCTTTATTTAAAGGTGGTAATCATATTCATCAAATCCAGTTGATTCTCAATTTATTAGGAAAACCTGATGAAGAATTTATGAAAAAAATTAACAGTCCTGAAGTAAGCGATTTGTTTTTCTATCTATCTAATTTACTATTGGTATTCTTTTCTCTTGTGATTGTTTTGAATAACATGTTTTTAAGTACATATTCGTTTTGATAAATACTAAATAAAATGTTGGCTTACTTAATTCTAACCAGTAAAGATCAAGTAAACCATGATAATTTGAGATATCATATAATATTTGGATTCTAGTTTTAGTATTTATTAGAGCTTCGATATTAATTTAACGTGAATAGCAGTAGTTTTCCTACGTCTTATTTAATAAAATTTTTCAAACATAAACGAAAATCTTTACTTTGTTTTATCTGGCCTCTTAGCGTTAAATGTAGATACCATATTGTCCAAATATTTGTATTTTTGGATGTTTTTATAACTTATCTGTCTATATATATGTAGTGGTTTTGTAGTTGTTCAATTTGATGGTACTTTCATCATGAATCGACCTCAGTGTAGCAACTATTTCCAGTTCTTGGCAAAACTTACTTTCGACCTGGCATTTTTCTTGTTACTATTCCGTACTATGTTAATAATGATTTATCTGTGTTTTACATGTCTGTTTGAGCATTAGCGTTTGCCTGAAATATGTTTGAAAGCCCCGAATAATTCCATTTTTCTTATGTGACAAAAGTTTTTGGAGTTTATTTTTCCAACTGGCGGTTTATATGGAAGTGCGAAACATCAAATTAACCGTGAAGAGACTTGTTTACAAAATTTTCATATTAAAATATTCTCTTATTACACGATACTGTTAGAAAGACTGCTTCATATCTTGCTTGTTTTGTAAATTACTCTGTTAGGAAAAGCAAGAAAACATTTCAAATGACACTTGCCTATGCATTTTGCAGAAAATTTTAACTAACTAGGTACCTATCTGTTTCTGGGTATGCTCATAACTACTTAAATAATTTGGCCTAACACGCATCTTTGCCAAGCTGTATATTGGTGGTGATTGACTAACTCTATTCCTTCTTTGTTTTATATTTGCCTGAAACAAACCTACACCCTTTTCTACTTAAAACCAACACTTTTCTTTGCAATTAAAAGTTTTGGTTTGAATCCAGCCGTTTTCACCAATTTTTTTCCTTTAAAAATAATTTCAAGAACGACAAAAACCCAATGTTAGATGTAAGTTTCCTGTAATCTCTGTTTAGTAAATTAATCAACAGTGTAAACCTATTTTTTTGGTAAATTAATTAATAATATAGTGATCTACTAGGCAAATTAGAAAATATTGACAGTTACCACTCACTAATTATCTTTTCGTAACAAAGCCCACTATTCAAACAAATTATCAGCTGTTCTCATGGGTTTATTGCTTGTTGCTGATCACCATACTATTAAATTAACCATAAGCTAATATCTTATATCAAACTATATCATTATTCATATATGAAGCTTCCGTTTATTTCATTGTGTATAAAAGTCAAATTTCGTTTGTTCAATGTAATTGGTGGTATACATGTCATACCCTATATTCCATTGTTTACCAACTTCTAGTTTCTAATAATTTAACTCTCTCATTCATAGTATCATTTCAACACAATATACTTCATTTGTTATTAAAAACACCTTTTAAATCTAATGTTCTAAGCAACTTCATGAATAAAAACATGATTTTTTATATCAACATGAAGAGTAGTGATACCACTCTTACTGCTCAAACTAAAATAAACAAAGTGCCTCCGTGTATAAGGCACTTGAGTTTCAACTGTTGAATGCTAAGTACTAATTCCACCTTACCCTTTTTGGTTTGCGTATTCGAGCATTATCACTATCTGTTGCATAAAAGGAGTAACTTAAAATCTAGTACATAAACTAATAGTTTTTTAGAACTTTAGCTTCACACTGAATTCGACAGTTTACTATGTCTTGCGTTCACATTAATAATTAACTGACTTTTAGGCTTTACAAAGAATGCAAAATGTAATACTTCTCTATAATAGTTATTACAATGCTATGGAATAGTTGGGACATATTAACTCAGAAAACCATATATCAGGTTATTAGTTCAAATAGTTCTGTTTATTTTACTTAGGATAATCAGTTAATATTATTTAACATTTCATAATTCAGCCTTAACTAAACAACTTTGAACTTATGTGACAAGTTGAATTATTGTAGTTCTCTAAACATACAACGTGTGTAAAACAGTAATAACCTCGTGAAACAAGTTGTAGAGTAAATGTAACTATTATTTTGAAGCATATATCTCGTGTCATGCATGATTAAATCAAAAACAATTTACATTATCACTGCGTTTGTTCATATTTCATACTATTAGTGTTTGTTTTTCTAGATGAGTTCTTCACCAATACTTTTTTCTGAGTGTGGTTCCTTTCTTTTTTTCATCGGTTTACATAACTAACTGTACAGAACAAATGATCTTGTAAGCTGATGTTATTAGAGAACACTAAATTAATCTTATTAATAATTATATTTGACTGCATTCTTTTATAATAATAGTAAAGCATAAATATGAAAATTTGTTTAATTGATAATTTTCACTTATACAGTCAACACCTACATAAATCGATTGTTTCACATTATTATGAAACCATACACAGCCCATAAAATAATATTTTATGAGAATAAATTTACAACCAGCACTAAATGTTTGTAATAAATTATCGAGTATCAATAAATTTTCAGTTCATAGATGGCTAATTTGTAGTTATATTCACATTAGAAATTAATTTTATTGTTTTTCATTGGATTATTTAAGTGTTTATTATTATTATTATTATCATTACATTGTCAATTCCATAGTTTATATACATATCAGAATGATTATCATATTTAATACATGTTTCTCGTGTTGTTTTTATATATATATATATATATATATATATATATATATATATATATATATATATATATTCATTTGTCTTTTACCGATGACATATTATGACATCACGGCATGTAATTGTGATGTTGACTGAATAAATAGCCGTTCGTTTAAACATGATATTTACTACTTTTTAATGATATAAAGCCTATCATTCTAATGTCTACATTCTGCAAATGACTTCTAAAGATATCAGTTACATCTAGGTGTTTTTTCTCATATATTTTCAAGTAGTTGGTATTATCATTTGATCTATTAATATGAAATTAACAGTAGTTATTTCGAATTAATTTAATTTGACTGATCCGTAGCATATTTTCCACAGAACCCAAAAACAAATAGAAAGTGTATGTTTAAGAAGAATATCAAACAGTTATTTGCGTTAGTCAGGTTTCATACTGCATAACAGACTACCCTTCGTTTGTCGGTTCTGTTTTAACTCTAGTTACATCTCGTATTTTAATGCTAAAGCACCGGATATTGCAGTGCAATATTTTTTCTGTGGTTGCTTTCTTATCTTTACAACATTAGCGCTTATAAATTTCTGCCTTCATTATATGCTAACTTATACACTTTGATACACCTATAATTCAGTCAGTCAGTAACAATGTAGAACTTCGTACGTACGTACATCAGCTCGAGTTGCCACACCACATTAGCATAGAGATGCAGCGGTCGATTCAAATCCCGTAGTGCTAGAGGTAATAAGAGTATAAGCAGTAATCGGGAGGATTAGTGTTTGGAGATGTTACTTAAAGAGTATAATACAGTGAAATAAATTTGAGAGGAGAAAAAAAAAGAGACAAGGAGGAATAAGGAGATCAAAATTTGGGAGAACACAAAGAGTGTATGCACCTGCGCCATTGCAAACGATTTTGAGCCTTATCATTCAAGGTCTCTAACCATCGGTTGCTATCATCACACACCTATAATTAACATAATGGTTATCAGTCACAACATTTATTCATTATTATGCTGATTGATTTACTGATTACTCCTTCCATTTCACTGTCAAACGTAATTTGTCACTTGTTTTTAACAAAATATTTAATTCACAATCCTCAGTTGTCTTACATTACTGCATCAAATTTTAGTGAGGTCTCACCTCAATGGTTAAGGTTTTCACTTTTTAACTATTTAGTTTTACCTCTTAGTATGATTCCAGTCTGGGAAGATGGCAACTATTATCACCGTTGTTCTACACATGACATGGGTGATGTAATATATAGAATAAAAAATTAAATTGAACTCCCTTTTGCGATCCTCATTACAGATACTACTACTACTGCTACTACTACTACTACTACTACTACTAATAATAATAATAATAATAATAATGTAACCATCTATTTTTAAAAAATCAGAACTACTATTATTTTTGTAACTATTCTAAATAAGATTTTATATCTAGCCCAAAATATTGTTTTATTGAGTTATTTTTGTAATAAAATTGCATTGTTGTAAGCTATTTATCTTTCATTGCTAAAGTTCTCTTTTTAACCTTGGAACTGATCCTTATGTAAAGGTTTCTCCTGTACTGTATGTATGCATCCATGTATTTATTCATTAATGTATTCAAGTATATATGTTTCCATCCTGTTATAATCAGTCATTATATTCAAACGATAAGGTTATTTAATATGACAGTCAATAAATTTCTCAGGTTTTTAAATAATTATTTCAGTCACTATGTTAGGAGACTTCAGTTTGTAGCTAGTTTTCATTACGGACAAGTATTAGTTCGCAAACCATTCAGGATTGCGTAACACTAGAAAATTGTTTCGTTCTATTCTAGAACTCCTCACTCGTGACACCATCAGGATCTTGTGTTCTACCTCAGACGAGGTCAGTCAGTTATGAAAGTGAACTGTTTATTGTTTTGGTATATGAATATTCCCAAAAGAATATTAGTTGTGTATCCAATATTTACTTATTTTATAAAGCACTGAAGTATTTTCCTCTCGCTATCATTCTTTAATCACTATCTGCTTTTGATTTACTCATATTACTTATTATTTATTTACACACATAAAGATTGGTACAAATTGATACCGAGTATACATGCGCCACACTTCGTCATTCCACCTGTGTGTGGGCCGGGATACTACCCGGGTGCCCGGACCGAAACAGGTGGTTTTCTTAGGGGGTCACTTTCTGAGCCTTTCATCTAGATGTCTAATCCACAATTTAGTGGAGCAACGTTAGGAGATGCAATCCCATGATAGCCGGTCACCGACAATTGGTTCATACGCCAGTTTTCGCCTCAAGACCCTGGAGCCCATGTTCACCATTGGTTTGGAATCATTGTTCTCCAACTCCCGTATATGGATCCTCCGTATCCACCGACTCGGTTAAAACGCCGGACATTCGCTTTTCGTCCTCTCAACTTCGTAAACAACACCCCCGCCACGACAAGGCAATGAGTAGGACTTCCCTGACAGTGGCTGTACATGCGTTGCCATGTGAGGGCATTTCGAGAGGGGGGAGCTGACTCCCCACCCTCAACCGTACCATGTCATTTGGGGGCTTAATCATATTGCAAGGCATTATAAATTATATTTTGATTAAATCAAGTATAGATTTGATCATTATTGGTCATATTTACTGTTTTGTACTTCATCTGAAATTAGGCCTAACAATATGGTCAATAAATATAAAAATACTATTGTTAGTTCAAAATTTATATTTTTCCAGTTTCGGATGGAAAGTATCTTCTCTATGCTTATCATCATTAATATTACTTCAGATTCAGCTTAATAACAAACAGCAGTACATAGCTTCCACGTAACTGCAAATTCTTTGCTTTGTTTTTTCAATCATTTTAACATCCTGTCTCATACAAATTCATTTATATTTGCATTTTTTTATTTTTAAAGGCATGTGGATTTATCCGTGATATTAGTAAATGTGAACCACAAAATCTGTACACATATTTTTCTTCTTTTTCAAGTGACGGTAAGTTGATAAGATGTAATTCGTATGTTTTTTAAGTTCATGTTTACGTGAAATGAATTCTCACTGGACGTCTAAATAGTATCTGGCTTTTTACAAAGATCTAAATATCTTGGCTTCTATTCTATTTGAGTTTGTCACTTTGTACATATTGTTAATGAGTCTAAAACAGTAACGTTATGACTATTTTACTGCTTCCTAATTTTTAATGGTACTACGATCAATGTCTGCTTATGTTTCATAAAATTGTTGGTTAGATTTTACTTATTTAATTTTTATTCCATACTACATCCATGGAGGCGTCTTATGATTCATGTGAATAATACCACTCATCGATAAATTCATACGGGTAACTATTTCCTTGTTGATATTTTTCACTATCGTGTATTAAGAAAACTCGTTCTTTGTATTCTTGTGTAATGGTAATGGTAATAATGCCGAACACTTTCGTTTAAACTCCCATGGATATTTTTACTATATATGATAATGATAAAATATATCGCCAACTCTGTTAACCATCTCGAAGGTTTATTCGGAAACATTTCTTACAATAATTCCCGACCGTCGTTGCAACCTTGACGTGGTGGTCGGGCTTGCCTATCGTGATGAAGCAACCGAGCTATACTGACTGGAAAAACTGTTCCTCAAGGTCCTACCACGTCAGAAAGGTCGGTTAAAGAGCGGTAAGACTAAAAGCAACAAACGCAAGGTCCGAGGGCGAAGTCGTACTGCTGACTGTACAGAGGTGTGACAGCAGTAAGGTGTTTCCTTCAGACAACCAGCATGACAGCGATGCTGCCTTCCCACAAGGAGGACTGGGGTTAGAAAAGGTCGACCCTAAAAATGCACACCTCGCCTTATCCCACGGATATCCGTCTCCGGCGGTAAGGTCTCAACATGTACGGAGCTAACACAAAAATCACCCATAAAAAGGTCGTGTGTGACCGACCTCAAGCAGTTGTCCCTTGGGCACTGCGGTCACGCTCTCAGGTCACTAAGGCCACCTCTAATCCAATTTCCTTTTCAGGTACCTCCAGAAAACCCTTCCACGGTGTGGGCAACCGGGAAGTGATAACCGCCCTCATACCTCTAACAGCACTCAAGACCACTGTATTCATAATCAACCTCCCTCTTTAATTCCTATTATTCCTCCTACATCGACTTCAAACTCTAAACTTCTTTTTTCGGCTTCCTCCTCAAGTGTCACCATAACCAACGATTCTAGTGCTCAAAACACTGTCCCAGGTCTACTGAAACCTCGCTCCGAACTACACATTGGAGCCTTCAATGTACGCACCCTATGTCAAATCGGTCAGCAGGATTCCTTGGCTAAAACCCTAGAATCTCGTACCATTGATGTATGCTGTGTCTCCGAAACACGCATACAGGATCCCAGTGTGGTCATTCACTTGACCTCACCTCCGCAAAACGGAGAGCCAACGAGATACACCCTCCGTGTATCTGGAGACCCAATGGATGGCAGGTGTGGGCATAGCATTAAGTACAAGGGCAGAACAAGCACTTTTAGAGTAGATCCCCGTCAACAGTCGTCTATGTGCTGTTCGGCTTAACGGCTCCGTAAGAACTCGGAAGGATAGGGACATGCGTCGTTGCCTTTTCGTCGTTTCTGCCTACGCTCCCACTGACTGCAGCTCGGATGAAGTGAAAGATGAATTTTACAGAAAGCTATCTGAACTTCTTCAGAAAGCTAAACGCTCAGACATAGTACTCGTAGCAGGTGACTTTAATGCCCAGATAGGTAGTTTAAACCAAACAGAAAGGCATTTAGGTGGGTATTTTAGTATTCCAGCACAACGAACAGATAATGGTGACCGTCTGCTGCAACTGTGCTCAGACAATCGTTTATTTTTAGCAAACACAAATTTTAAGCATAAGGAGAGACATCGTCTAACATGGCGACCCCCTACACCAAACCAGTGATGGACTCAAATAGATGATATTGCCATCAGTCATCGTTGGAGAGGGTCGGTAGAAGATTGTCGCTCATTCTGGAGTACCTGCTTGGACTCCGACCATGCCCTAATACGGGCACGCATCTGCTTGCGCCTCACTGGACGCAAAAAAGCCACATTAAAAAGACCCGTTAGAACTGAATTGAGTAACGAGAATTAGAATTGAATTAAGTGATGAGAAGGCTGAAAATAGATTCCAGGAACAACTGAGGTCACACTTAGGTAGTTCTGAAAACGAGGTTAACCCAGATGTTGCTTGCAAAGATATACAAACATGTGGAAACAGCAGTGGCATGTATTAGTGATTTAAACCGAAGGGTTACAAAAGCCAATGGATTTCTTCTAGGTCTATTGCACTGATGGATTCTCGCAAACTCGTCCCATCAGGTTCCGAACAAGATGAAGAGCGACAACAAATCAGATCTAGGTTAAGCAAAAGTCTAAGAAACGACCGTGAGCAGTGGTGGGCAACGAAAGCAAAAGAGATGGAAAAGGAGGCGGCTGTAGGTAACACCAGACAGCTCTTCAGACTCATAAAAGAAACTGGAACTAAGATTTGAAGTGTGAGACTGTCTCGGAAAAAGACGACACTCTTATCTGCTCCCAGTCCAGACGTTTGGGACGATGGGCGGAACACTTTAAGGAGCAGTTCAACTGACCTTCAGCTACTCTAAAGCTACCCACTATTTTCAGACAGTGTGAATGGAACATTGAATTAGGTCGCCCGACTCTAGCTGAAGTTCATAAGCCTATGGCTAATCTGAAACAAGGTAGGGCAGATGGACTAACTCCGGAGGTCTTCAAGGATGGTGGTCCAATTTGAGCGATTAGGTTGACTAATACTTTAGCTAAGATCTGGGAGTTAGATGTCATTCCATCTGACTGGTCGCAATCACTTATCGTCCCAATATATAAGAAAGGGTCAAAGTCATCGTGTGACAACCACAGAGGGATTAGTTTAACAGAGGTAGTATCTAAAATGTCAGCCTCGATAATTATCAGACGCCTAACTAAGACTCGTGAACTGCAAACACGAGAGAACCAAGCTGGTTTCAGACCTGGTCGTGGCTGCATCAGCCCTAATGGGTTGGTATCTGACGAAATCTCAGCATGGATTCGAAAAGCTCGTTTGGCTTTTGCCAACTTACGTCACTTTTGGCGCAGGCGAGATGTCCGTCTACCAATTAACGAACGAGTATACTGCGCTGCAGTCCGTTTTGTTTTTATTTACGGCTGCGGAACGTGGCCATTAAGAGTAGAAGACACCCGTAAGCTACTAGTGTTTGACCACACATGCCTTAGAAATATTGCTCGCATCTTCTGGGATCACCGGGTAAGTAATAGTGAGGTTAGACGTGGGGTATTAGGGAATGACAGTAATGCAGTTGATGAGGTTGTGAATCTTCATCGACTGAGATGGTTGGGCCACGTGTTGTGTATGCCTGAACACCGATTACCACGACGCGCAATGCTAACTGGTGTTGGGGATGGTTGGAAGAAAGTTAGGGGTGGCCAAACTAAAACGTGGCATCAGTGCTTGAAGTCACTAACTTGTAGTCTGAGCCATGTTGGTAGATGCAGACTACTTGGTTGAGGTCCGCGTGACTATCGTAACGAATGGTTGGAGACTCTGTGTGACATGGCTCAGAACCGATCACAATGGCGTAGGTGTATACACTCTCTGTCTTCCCTCAAACAGATTAAAATTGCTTTATATCTTTCTACGAAATAATTCTTTCTTCCTGTATTATATCCTTATATGCATTCTTTTATATATTACTACCATTGAAGTAACTACTTCGGTTTGGGCACCCGGTCAGTATCACAGCCCTCACACATATCAAATGAGATTTGTTTGGCGCATGTGTATTTGGTGCCTCCTTGTACCAATATCTATGTGTTAAAATAAATAAATTGTGCTAATGAGGTATGGCAACTTGGACAGATGCATATATGTACCTGGTCCTACGTTGTAGCTGACTGGTTGATATCGAAGTTTTTGTTTCATATTAATCATAAATTTCCCTGTTCTGATTTGTGTTATAAAGGATCTTCTAAGGATGTTATTGTCTCAACCGACAAAAGCTCTGTGTCCTTCCAAATGTGTTTTAGTTTTTCTGCTTTCAGTGATTGAATAGATGTTGGCTAACTAAACATATTCTCGTCCATAGAAGAATATGGATAAATCTATTTAATTATGTTCAAATACAATATTAATGAGTTATTTTATTGTCACTGACTCAAACATTAATATAATAATCGTTTCAATTAATGATTTAACAGATCAACGGTTACATTAATACGTGATTCTCCTTTTCCGGATCATTTTAGTCTTCAATGCTTAAAATGTCAGAGTATGCGCCTTAGTTGAGATAATATTGAAAGAGTTTCTATAGCAATTATTGTAAGTTATATACTCGTGTTATCTCAATAGCTCAACAGTTGTTTTCAAACGTATGGTGATTTTCATTTCAATCTGTATAATGTTAATGTTGTGGTCTCTGCTCTGGATGGTTTGGTTATGAGGCTTTCACTGTCCTCCTGAACAACATTATTAGCGCATATTTAAAAGAGACGTCTACATGATCTCAAAATTGTATTACTGGTTTTTAATGTTTGTCCCATTATCATGAGTAACCAAGGCTAATAACCTTTTTGTTATTTATACATGAAATAGTAAAACTTCAAAGTGATCGGAATATTATCTTATGAATCATTTTACTCCCACTCTATTATTCATTGGTTTTTAAATTGACTGAACATGTTTAAGTAAGATGATTTTCACTTGAAACTGCAGAAGAAGTTATATACAGTTTCGTGTTATATTGTTCTTGTTATTATTTATTAACTGAATTATAAATATATGAATTATCGGAGTTCTTCAGTCTTTGAATTATAGTCATTTGTAGTTTTGCATATTTCTGCTTGTCTGTTCTTGGGAATTCTTTATTCATTGATTAGTTTATAACCATTAAATGCTTTAATATAACATCCATATAATGTTCCGTACTTAAAATAAATATATTTTGACATCGTGAAGAAATGATAATGCGAAGGTTGTTATGGTACACCTTTTCCTTTGCGTTTTCTTATTTTTAAAGCTGTTGATTTATTACAAAAGATGCTTCACCTTGATCCAGATCGACGTTTAACAGCTGCTCAAGCACTAGCTCATCGTTATTTCGCAACGTATCATGATGAATCAGATGAACCAATTGCAGAGAGATTCGATGATCCATTTCAAGACGATAGTAATGTATCTTTAGATCAGTTAAAAGGTATTTAATATCTCTGTATATTTTCCTATTCATTCACTTTTAATTCTTCCATGTATATAATCAAAATGTCCTTTACTTGTAAGGAGTGTTCTTTGAAGTGTTGTGTAGGAAAATTTATTATTTTAGTGCTTATGCCTTCAAACTGGTTTGTGCATTGCTATTTGTGGCGAATTGACTTTGTATACATTCGCTTACTATTCACGTCTTACACTCCTATGTTCATAATAATATTTCTGCGAACTTTCGAGTTCCATATTCTAGTTAACGTCATATTTGACTGGAGACTATAACTGTATTGTCAGCATACTTTTAAGATGAAAGTGTATTGTAATATAATCTGAACATAGAAGCAAAAAAATTATTACATTACATGTATAAATCAGTACATTATTCGAAATTGTGGAGTCGATTTTCACATCTTAATCACGGTATCGATGTCCCTTCTATCTTTAACTAAGTAAACCGGTTTACAAAACACAACTTTCTCAGAAGTATTACAAACAATTGAAATAGAATATTAAATTATATTGATAGCATTCTAGGTTTAGTCTCCCGATCTACATACCGGTTATGCATTTGAAACCAAAGGACTGTCAGAAGAAATATAATGTTATATCCAACTAATTCTCATTTATTTCATCCAGGTTAAATAGTTATGAGTTTGAATGTTAACCATCATTGCTGACTACAGTAATACGCAATATATATGTACTTCTATTTTTCTACTTTATAACAGAAGCTGTATGGAATACACTAGAGAATTTCGTACCGAATCTAAATTCTCTACATTTATGCGCTTCTGAAGAGACAAATGCAGCTTGAATGTATATGTATGTATTTTATTTCTATATACACGGAGAAATATTGTTTCTTTAGCCTCATTTATGCATCTATATATGTATACAACTGATAATATTTGGAATTATCAAAATTGATATGTTACAGTTAAACCCAATTGCCATTTACTTTCTGATCCGGTTGATATGTTTGCTTATTCCGCATATTACTAAAAACCCTTAACATGCTTTATTTTTTCTTTACTAAAAACTAATATTGACTATTCTTTGTATAAACATTTTATTTACATAAATATTTTTTCATACAAACGTTTCTATATACAAAAACTTTTCTCGCTTTAATCCTGTGGCTCATTTTTTTATACACAAAGATCTCACATTCTGTGACTAGTATTGAAAACTAAATAAAGTCTACATTAGTAATGGTATAAATTGTTTGATAAAAAATCTACATAAAGCTCAATAGTTAATCTTCACAAATCGTTTAATTTAAGACTGGATATGTATATGCAAGTGGAAAAATTTTTTTTTTAATCTACATAGAAAATGCTTTTAAAACCTTTTTTGTACTTCTATCATCTTTATTAAAAAAGTTTTCGAACACGAATGAAGAGCGAGGTTAATCTGTGTTCTTATTTCCTTTTGATATTTTTGTGATTGGTTCTATTATTACTTTTCTGGGATAAATTATTCATCAGCTTTCTCACTGTAAGATCATTTATTCATTTGATTCTCAGTATGTAAATAAGCTCATTTATGGTATTAGCTAATTTAGACTTAAGGAATGTAATAACCTGATAGAAATATTCATCATCTTAGATTGTTCTTCATACTAGTACAGGTAGATGAAGTCGTCATGATGAATACCAAAATGGTATTAATTATAGTAAACGTTTTGTTGTGACTTTAAGTTCGGCTAGTTATATCACGTGATTTGTCTGCCAATCGAAATACAACTTATTCAAACTTAATACTGTGCTAAACCAATGACATCCGACCGGTATGAACACCCTAGCGTCCTTATTGGTCCTTTGTTCGTCCGGTTGAGTCCAAAACGCCAATAACAGTTTTCACTATGTGAATCATTCATTTCAAACATACTTGGTTTATATATCAGCCAAATATGCCACATCACACCATAAAATAGGAAATAATATTTGTAAAAGATCAAGCCAAAAAGTGGCTGTGAACGTGGGAGACTAATCAGTAAACTGAACATAGCTTAAGGACAGTACTTCGTATAATAATAATCCATAGATCGAAATGAAGCTTATAATATATATATATATATATATATATATATATATATATATATATATATGTATAAACAATAAGTATACATATATATGATATTAGTCCAATAATAGTTCTAAGAAGTTACCCGTAATTTCTTCACTAGAGTATAAGAAAAGAATAGATATGTGGAATTACAAAAATAAGGTGATTTCTTACTTCGTGGTTTAAACGTAGGTCAAGAGTGGGTGCATCTGTGACAATGTAACCGATATTTACACCTGATGTTCCCGACTGTTGATTATAAATATCTCGGGAATCGCAACCAAAGTTGCTCAAATTGATATTTAATGCGCTCATGGATTAATGCCGTGTGTTTGTTCTTGTGCTTCCCATTTTCTTACAGCCTACTTCGCCTCTCACCAGTCTTCATCAAGAACCCCCAAATGCCCTGGTATGGCTAAGAGTGGGGTGTGCCCGCGCTCCCTCTCGAAATGCTCTCACACAGCCTCTGTCAGACAAGTCCTACTCACTGCGGGGGTATTGTTTACGAAAGTGAGAGGACGAAAAGCGAATGTCCGGCGTTTTAACCGGACCAGTGGACACGGTGGGTCCACGTAAGGGAGTTGGAAAACCCTGATTCCAAACCAATGGTGCACATGGGCTCCAGTATCCTGAAGGGACAAATAGCGCATGAAGCAATCGTTGGTCACCGGCTATCATGAGACTGCATCTCCTCACGATGCTCCACTGCCTTGTGGATCAGACCTTTAGGTCAAAGGCTCGGGGTGAAAATGACGATATTTACTGAAAATTCTATTCACGCTTCGATTAACAGTCAAACAGTTCACATTATTATTATTATTTACCACGTCGCTTACTCACTCTCTTTTATTCCCACTCTATATATCCTTTTTGACTTATACAGCAGCTCGCCTATGGTGGAAACCCTGTTCTATCTAAACGTTCTCGAGTCACTGCCTGGTTGAAAATTGTATGCTACTACCAAATACGAATACTGAAGCAGTTCTTCTGAAACCACGTGCACCATTCAAACTGACTGCCTTCAACGTTCGCACACTTATGCAGGTCGGACAACAGACAGTGCTGGCTATGTTTTTGAAAAGTCTTAATATCGACGTCTGTTGTCTATCCGAGAACCGTATTCAAGACTCTGGTGTAGTACTACAAATTGTGCTGTTAGATTAGAAAGTTCCATCAAGTGAGATGAATCGGCGTGAGAAACGATGTCTTCTCGTCATCTCCGGCTATCCTCCGAGAGATTGCAGCCCGGATGCAATCAAGGATGAGTTTTACCACCAGATGTCTGTTATAATAATAATAATTTATTTTCAAATAACAGCTTGTTACATGAGGCATGCCAGTTTACAGGCAAGATCAAATTGTTACAAATGATACAATATACACTATAGTAAACTACTTGGCTGGGTTGATAATTTATAAGATATGAATGTAGATGATTTTAATCAGTATCACAATTCGCGCGTTTCATGAAAGTTGCGTTGCGAATGTGCAACTGGTGGTCAAGGATAGGTGTATTGAGGGTGAGAGCTTCTAAAAGTCGCAACCTTATGTCCTTTTGAAATATCTAAGGCTTTGAGGATGGTGAAGGATGAAATCACACGTTCCATATCATAAGGAGGCAAGTAAAAGAAATGACGAGAGACAGAGTAGCCAATATTCATGAAGGAATGCCTAAGGTATGATTACTCAGTCTAATTTTCTTTTGTTAAGAAAGAGCATTTTAATAAGTTAAAGAAAATAAGTGCGAACAAGGTATGAGTGGACATACAACTGACAAATAGAGGCAATTCATAAAGGAGCTGAGAGTGTGGGATTATGTGTGGTTAGAAAATAAAATATAGTGCTAGAAACAGTATTGTGATATACGTTTGGCTATCTTCCTTATTTTATCGAAACTATTAGAGCTCTTTTCATTTTTTTTGTATTATTTTTTTTTAAAGTATCATAGGGTCTTGAGTAGGCTTCGTATATTAGCGAATTGTCTAGTTTGCATGTAATAGGATTACTGGGTAAGAAGTGAAACCAATTAAGCGTTCGTAACACTATTTAAAGAGGTATTTTGCGTGATAGATCAACATTAAAACCTTAAGTTCGTGGCATCCCGGCACTAACTTTCGGCACAGTCATCGTCGATGTGCCACCTGGAGTCCCCCTTCTGCATCTCAAGCCTGAACTCAGGTTGATCACATCGCTATCAGCTACCGCCGGCGTAGTTGTGTACAAGACTGACGTTCCTTTTGGAGTACCTATCTAGACTCTGACCATGCCTTGGTCTGCGCCAATCTTAACTTACTTTTCAGTGGCCAACGAAGTGACCGCCACCAACGGACTGATGTTAGCAAGCTGGTTGCAAGTAAGTATCGGACCGAGCTAGATTCTAGGCTAGCTGCCACCCATCGACGTCTTGGACGGTGGGCATGATTTTTCGAAGGGCAGTTCAACTGGCCTGCTGCCCCGGCAACATCGGTCAGACTGTCCTGCCCTCCATGGCCGGTGACGACTGATCCACCAAATGAGGCGGAAGTCCGCAAGAAACTCCAACTCTTGAAGCGCTACAAATCACCGGGCCCAGATGACATACTTCCAGCTCTTGGTGGTGACTTCCTGACTAAGGAATTGACGACGTTGTTTACAAAGGTTTGTGAACTACGTCGTGGAATGAATCGATAGTTGTCCTCATCTTTAAAAAGGGTTCACGTCGTTCCTGTAACAAATATCGGGGAATAAGTCTACTTCCGATCGCGTCCAAGCTATTGGCTTCCGTCATACTTCGTAGGTTGTTCAAAACCCGAGAAAGATTGATTCGCGATGAGCAGGCTGGTTTTCGTTCTAGTAGAGAATGTATTGATCATATCTTCACCCTCCGCCAAATGTTAGAACACCGCCATACTTATCAAAGGCCAACAATCGTAGTGTTTCTTGACATCATGGCTGCCTTCGATTCGTTGGATAGGACTGTTCTCTGGGATTGTCTATCGAAGAAGGGTGTGCCTGAGAAGTTTATTAACATCCTAAAAGCCCTATATACAAACACCTCAGGCAGAGTGAGGGCATACAACCACCTTTCTCCATTGTTCCATTCGAGCAGTGGAGTCAGACAGGGTTGCCCAATCTCACCATTCCTCTTCAACTTTGCCATCGATGACATTCTGGAAACAGCTCTGATGAATGTAAGTAATAGTGGTGTGGATCTGTTGCCTGGAGAAAGACTTCTCGACCTTGAGTTTGCGGATGACATTGTCCTGCTGTGCGATAATGCCCAAGGCATGCGATCCGCACTTAATCAGTTGGCAATCAGTGTCCGTAGGTATGGTATGTGCTTTGCACCTTTGAAATGCAAAGTACTTCTACAAGACTGGCAGGATCCTAACCCTGTACTCACCCTGGATGGTGAGCAGATAGAAGTAGTTGAGAAGTTTGTGTATCTGGGTAGCTGCATAAGTGCTGGTGGTGGCATCAGCAACAATACCAACTCACGTAAAATGAAAACCGGTGTAGCTTATGCCAATCTAGACCAATTTCGGCGCCTTCGTGATGTTAGTCTGGCTGTAAAAGGTCGGATCTACAACGCGTCGGTGAGAGCAGTTCTCCTCTATGCTTGTGAAACCTGGTCTCTCCGAGTTGAGGACGTTAGACGAGTCTCTGTGTTCGATCATCGCTGTCTCCGAAGATTTGCTGACATCCAGTGGTAACGACATGGCTCAGAATAGAAGCCAGTAGCGATCCTGCCGTAACCATTTTTACTTT